CGACTGGACTCGCGTACTCACTATTTATGGGCGTTATTATTTTATTCTTTAACATCTCCTGAATATGTTCTTCGATGATTACGTCTTTTTGTTTGTCATACCGATAAGGTTTAGTCCTACAAGGTTTTTCGGCATTTAATTGAATCTTGTGCGTAACTATTTGGCAGTTTCCTGGTTTTTCTGAAAACAAATGAGAAAAATTACTCACCACTTGCTGTATTGCTTTCCTTTCATGGTCATTCAGATGGCTAAGGTCCAATTGCGGTGTCTCCACAGGTTCCACCACCCTCTGGTCCATCTCCAACACCACGGAACTATCTTGAAAATTTAATTTGGCCCTCGCGGCCCTTAAAAACTCCATACCTAAAATAAGAGAATTTTGCAGATCTTTCACTACAAAAATTAATACTTTGAGACTTTCCTCTTTTACCTGTAAGTTTAATGATAATTTCCCGATGCAGTGACATGTTTTTCCTTGCGCCGCTATAATTTCCGTATTTTTGGTTTTAAATAATCGTACCCTATAAAAATTCTTTTTGAAGAAATTTTCACTCATAAAATTTCCTTCTGCTCCTGTATCGATGAGGGCTTCTACTGGTACATCGCCAACCAGGACTTGTATAATTGGTAGCTGTGAGTTTTTTACGATGACCGTATTTAAATGTCTATTTGAGGGTTTTTTTTAAAACTTCCGGGGTCTGGACCCTCCCTTTCACAGGCCCCTCTACTCGTTTAAAGCTTTCCTTTCAATCTGTGTCCTTCTGGGTACGCGGATGTTTATTTTCAAATTTTCTTTTTGGGCCTTGACCTTCGAGTTTCGATGCGTTAGCTTGATAGCTTTTTTCCCCATAAGAGCGATTTCCATTTCTGGTTTCCTCATTTGAAGATTTCCTTCGGGTACTTTGAGAATATGTTTCCCCTCTCGCTTTTTCCGCTATTCTGCGATTTTGAAACTTCACCGCCAATTCGAAGAGTTCCTGCAATGTGCTTGGGTTTCTAATTTCAAAGTAGTCTTGAACAGCGGGTAACAATCTTGGTAATATTATTTCAATAATCTCCGCATCGGGTTTCTTCCCATACAGCATATCCGTTAGCTTGATTTTTCGTAGAATAAAGTCCGTCAATTCTGCTATATCCCGTTGATAGAAACTATATAGTTCGGCTTCCAGCCGTGCGCGATCTTTCACTATGGGGAAGGCCTTTACTAACGATTTTTTGAAATTTTCAAATGTATATGTCTGGCTTCCAAATTCCCCTAATAAAAATTTGCCTATATTTTTCCACCATAGCGCGGCCTGTCCTCTTAGTGCTGATGTGGCGATGGCAACTTTTTGTCTTTCAGGAACAGGGTAGAGCTGAAAGTGTTTTTCTAGACCTTCTAGAAATACCGCCACCGAATTTTTTCCGTCGAAATGGACGTTTGGCTTGATTGACGCTCTCAAAGTCTGGACCAGGTATCCAAATCCTTCTAACTGGCTTGTCATTTCTTGGTGTTGTCCAGCGGCTTCCATCCAATTTTCGGCCATTTCAGTTCGATAAGTGTTCGGGCGCCAATGTAACGTTGCGCGCCTCCAACTTGCACGCAACCAAGAGGTGACTGTGAAAACTGGATAAAACACAGAGTCTTGTGAAGGGTTTAAGTCCCTTTTTATTCAACGTAATAAATTACAATTGCGTGCTCTTGACGCTCACAGACTGCGCCAACTCGGCGGTCAAATAAAAATAATAACCTGAAAAGAAACTAAAGACAAGACTCTAACTACGAGGCTCTCTAAAATAACTAACTCACCGCGTTTTACAATACCGCTGCTAATTCAGCAGACTTGAAGCTCACTTGAACGATTAACACTACTTCCCGCCAAGCACATAGGCCGAAAACGCGGGGTTCTTCAATTTCTCGCTAACTACCTCCGCGCTCGTGAAGTAAGAATATCACACACCGAACTCGTTTCCCTTCTATTTAAATCATAATACTTCCGCTGATAATTTGAATCCTTGCGCGTTCTACTAAAATTTACATATTCTGGCATTGGCAGTTCCAGGGGAAAGTAAGGCTTGACAGGAAAGATAGTTTAAACTTAAAATAAATGTTAGTTAAAATAAATATAAACCCTACAAAATTATGAAAAATAAATTTAAAGTCAAACTTCAGTAATATCTTAGTGTCTTTAGATGCTTATAACCAGTCATACCTTCATTTCCATTTTCATTGTTTTAATTCCTGTTTCAAATCAGATGGAGGGAATCTAAGAATAGAATTTTTGAAAAAAAAAAAAAAAAAAAAAAAAAGACCCTCACAGGAGCTTTTATTTTATTTAATCATTATTACATATAAAATAATATGGTTCTTTCTTAACCACAGCATGTGGAAAATGTTTAAGCTGTCTTTTCATTTATTATATAGATCGCGAGCAGTATTCATAGTTATCTGTTCTGTCATGTAATATATATGAAGGATTGGATTACATCGCAGAGTATCGTAAAATTTCGTAGTGATTCATATCACAGAACGTGCCCTGCACAAATCGGCTCGAAAGTTCTTGTTTATACCCAAGAGCCTACCCGTTGAGACTTTATACTCCCTTAAGTTCCGGGGAACACCTAGTTTGGCAAATATGGCTACGTGGAAACTACATCAACTTTCCTTTTCTTTTTAAGTTCCAACTTCTCTCTTCACAAAATTCAACTCCCTCCATAAAACTCCTCAAGGATGTTTGCGATAACGTATCGATCCAAAGGGTAAAAATTTTACTTGCCGCCTTTGAAAATCACGCGTAAAAAATTGACAGAAAAGTTGAGGGTATTTTCTCTTTCGAAGCCTTTTACGTCATGGCAATCCCTCCTGTCGGTCCATCACTCCATTTTAGTAGAAGAGAAAATCAAAATTTATAAGTGACCGTGATCCCCCTTCAAAAACTTCCCCGCATTTTCTTCGGGTGATAAAATACCTTTCTTCCTATAATAAGCTTCTAATACTAAGTTATGTATATAGATATAAATATATATGGAGCGGATGAGAGTACATATTTTAGGATTGTTCATAGCTTTTCAACTGCTTTTAAGCTGGTCGAATTCTTAAAAATAGAGATGATATGTAGACTAAGGCAAAATTCATAGTGCTGATACAGTATTAAAGAACAGATTATTCTAGGCCATAGAAGTTTCATATGGATATTTTTTTTTAAATATGATGTATTCTGAAAGCTCTCTCAGGTTGAAGCCAAGTAAAAAATTCGTCTGAACTTTATCTGGATTAAATTTAAGACGGATTATATTACTTACATTGAATTACGCTTAAAACATATCGCAGACACCATGGAGTTCTACAGCTTACTGGTATGGTTTCTTCGTTTCAACTATTCTTCAAAATTCGTCTTTGGCGAGAAGCAATGAATTAAACATGAACGGAAGCAACAATAAAAAAATGAGGAGTCAGATATAAAACGTGCTTAACTCTGGAATTGAAAGAACAAATAAACATACAAAATTTAAGAACTTTTAATTTTATCTGACTACGTATAACCAAAGATACATTTGAAACAAATTGAATATAGGTAAGACTTCAATTCGTACTGCCTATTCATAATCGAGTTAAAATGCTGAATGTCTATTATGTCTTTTTTCTGAAGCAAAATATAAATAAATAAATGAAAAGATTAATTTAGAAACTGAAAGCTTTGGATTACAATTTAACATTTTCAAAACGCGTTAACCACTAAAATCCTTTTTTATGTAACTGAAAATGTAAAAGGATTAAAAATGCGGTATATCATGCAAATATTTGCTTTCCTTTTAAAATTAAATGATGTATACCACTGAAAATTCATAAAAATTTCTTGTTGACTAAATTAAAAAGTAAACTTAAAGGAAATTCTAATTTTAAACGTTTTTGCGGCTCCTTTTTGAGCAAAAAATAGTATGAACAAAACAAAGCAAACAAAAAATCTAAATATCAGAAACATATGTTACAGTGTGACCAAAATTAAAAAAAAAAAAAAAGAAAGAAAGAAATATATAGATAGAAAGCGAGGTTTAGAAACAAGAGGACTAAAATCTTCATCACTATTCAATTTTACTTTGGATGTAGGCTTTCGATTCCCAAATTGTTTTTAATCGCGTAACCCTAAGACAAATATAATTATGAATTGTACCCCCATAATATAATATCATGTAACATAATATAATATAATATAACATAACATAATATAGTATACTATACTATACTATAATTAAATATAATATAATATAATATAATATAATATAATATAATATAATATAATATAATATATATATAATATAATATAATATAAATAATATATATAATATAATATAATACTATAACATAATATAACACAATATAATATAATATAATGTGACCAGACACCGCAACCTATGAGAGAATCTTACACTCACATGATGCACGATCGCACACTCGGAAGTGATCGTGAGCCTACTTCATTGGCGTGTCACCAGTATCACTTAGCGTACCTCACTTTAGAGACCACTAATGTAGGGGATAGTAGAAGGGTCATAAATTTTACTGCTGAAAAATTTAAAATATTGAAAGCATATCTTAATTATCCCTTTTATGATATAAAATAACGCTTATTACAAAATTTTATGCAAAAATACAGATAAAGTAACTTTTTAAATTATTCACTCTGATTATCTGAGGAACAATATTATTTTTTAGATATCGAATATAAATAAAAGACTTTCTATATTCCCAACAGCCAAAAACGGGCTTTCATATTCTGATTTTTGTTAGTAATTGTCAGAATTTTGCAATTAATTAAAAGCGATACCACAATAGCATTTATTAGAAGTATTTAAAATTCCTTGAACAAAATTACATGTTTTTAGTTAATTCTAAGCAATTTGAAACACTAAAGCTTAAAATTATTGTTTCCTAATTCATGTTGTGAAGCACAATTTCAATTTGTATTTCCAGCAACTTCATGAATTTTATATTTCAACTTTTCATGAATTTTATATTTTAGGTAAAAGAGCTTGCCCAGGTGAAACTCTGGCCAATGTAGAAGTATTTCTGTATGCAACGAGCCTTTTGCAAAAATTCCATATAGAATTTCCTGAAGGAAAACACCATAATTTTGAAGGAGTGGTTGGTGCTACTTTTGAACCGACGCCATACGAACTTTGCATGGTTCCAAGACTGTGAACTGATTACTTAACTATCTTTTTATTGTAAAATACCATTTTCATGAGTTGAAGCAGAGGAGTTCTCTCTATATAAATGTTATGTGCTTTTTTTCATATGAAAACATTCATCTCTAAATTTTATGATGCACATCTATGAAAATTTTGGACTGAATACATGGAAGCCAATTTCTTAAAGGAAACGAAACGTACACCATTTTTTCTATTACATAATTTCTTTTTAAGCTGGTCATCTCTTGGTATGTGCACAGAGCTTTTGGTTGCTTACCTGAGTCAGCTGTTGAATGCTCATCATTCTTCAATTTTTGAATTCTCCATATTCACTCAAAATTGCATACTTTAACATAACATTAAACTTCAGGTTTCAGGTCTTTTAGAGCTAAGTCACATTTTAGTAATGCTTCAAGAAAATTAAATTTCTTTTAAAAATATTAAATTTTTATATTTTATATCATTTAAACAGACATTGCAAATGATCTGAAAATTTCACTAATTCGCATTAATTATGAAAACATTGTTGTGTCTACAAGTGTGTTTTATTGTAAAAAATGTATTTTATGCATATTTTTGTTTTGTTGCGTCTAATAAAAGAATATGAGAAAATCTAATTTGTCTTCAAATAAAAAAAAGTTTCTGCAATATTAATACTGAACACCTTCAAACATATTTATCATGCCCCTAGTTCTAAATATTAAGTATTTTATCTTAGCAACATAAAAATCTTGCTTTAAGCATTGCTTTTCATCAATGAATTGTCAATTCTTTTCAGTTATCGATGCACACGTTGGTCAGTTCTTTAAACAAACTTGACTCAAATGAACTTTAAAATAATTCAACAGATAAATATATAGTAAAATCAACTTATTGTTACACTGCAAAGTAGTAGTGAAACAGCCCTGTTAATGAAGTGGAAATTATCAGTCGAGTAATTCAGTGGAAAGAAAAAAAAAAGAATTGCGTCACCAGAATATCTCACGTATCCTAATAACACAAGCACGCACGAAGTTGTATTGTCGTCCTGGGGATGTTTCATCATTTATTGTGTTTCGCTTGACTTGCAATAAGAATGAGTGACTGAACTCTCCTTTTAGGAATAAAATTTCTTTGCACTAAGAATCAGCATTTTTGAAAGAGGATTTAGGAGAAAATAGTTTTGTGCCGCTAACTCCTCGTAGGTAAACCTTACGCTAGCATTGAGTGCTGAAGATTTTTCGACACAACACATAATACCAGGAATTTACTGTAGCCAGTTCAGTGCGGTGGTTTTATTGTAAAAATTCTGTGAAACTAAGTTATAATTAGGAAATACAACAGCTGTAACCGAATTCAAAGGATGAATTTCTTTTCTTCTGAATATGAGAAACAGAAAAGCGACATCTGTGGATCTCAAAATTGCATGTAACATGTAGAGAGTAAAATGGATGTAAGTAGCAATACTCAATATTTGATTTCGAATGAGTTCATAGACCTGGGGCAGAAGAAAACGACTTTACGCCTTAAAAAATGAGATCCCGCGCCTAACATGTGCTAAAGAAATTGCAAATTGAGTTCTGAAAAATTCAACCTGAACAGTCCAGACTTCAAGAGAAGCAGGTATAATGAATTAACTAACTTTTACTGCATGTGTGTGTAAGTGCGTAAGTGCTAGATGAACTTCAATGTTTTTCATACGCAGGAAATGGTCAACTAGAATGCATCAGTCGACTGTCAATACCTAAATCTGTATATATATTCTGTCATATAAATTGTTGGAAAGCATTCAAGACCAATTTTGACATCATCGTTATGTTGCAATTGAATCATGCGATGTTGACCAATACCGCAGAACGTCTGTAAAGAGCTAAATCAGCAAGCAAATGATGGCATATAATTACTTATATCCTCAAAAACGGTAATGTGTTTTATTTCTTATGTCAATTTTTCTTAGAAGAAATGACTACAGGGCAGTAGCATCCATATATTGGAGTATTCTAGTAAACGTCCAGATTTAAACCACGTAAAAAGTCTTTGCAATAGTTTGGGCCGCAAAGGGCTATAAAAAGGTACGGCTCTTAGACGCAGCTAAGAAAAATACTTATTAAGAATTGGTTTCGGGAAACAATATTTGAACAGGTCTAGAATCTCATTTGATCCCTGCTACATTGCTACCAAATATCTTCAATATGCAATCATCTTCAAGACAAAAGACTACCCCTACCAAATACTAATGTCAATACTCATTCTACAGGAGATTGTCATTTTCCCCATGTTTGTTGTTAGTGCCTTTTTTAGGACAATTACAGCGGTGATTATGGTTCTCTTTCTTACACAAATTTTTTTATTAATTTATTTGCAAACTATTACATAAAATTTAGGGCCAAAAGTATTTATATGCTTGCTTTTTCCGATAATTTATAGCAATTCATGGCATCTAAAAAACTGTCTTATATTTGATTAGATGCTGAATAAAATTCTATTAATTTCTAGAATGATTAAACAAAGATCCATATTCTTCCAAAAAAAACATTTTGGCACCTGAAGAAGAATGACCTATTACAAGGAATTGTCTTACTTGTCCGTGCGTTCTATTGTGGTTAAGTGGTTAGGATATCCTTAGCCAAGCTTGAATGATACAAATTTCAAATGGTAAGCCAGGCTTGGACGATGCGAATTTCGAAGTCTGATGAGGCTTAATTTTTTACTGTTTCTTGCGTCGAAGGAACTGATAAATGTCTGATCGTCTTCGAGATTATAAGAGCCTTTTATAAAATCTACGCCAATCTAAAGTTGCATTTTTTTTTTTTGTCTAATTTTAAGTTTTAACCTGGAATATTTTTCTTGCAATTAGACACGGATGAGAGTTTTATGTAACGTAGTTATTGGTTTCCATAATAAACACCGACTGCGCTATATGATTCTCATTCCGCTGTAATGGCAAGTTGAAGCCCTATTAGAATATTTTGACACATTTCATTCTAAAATAAAATTTCAGCCTTTCAAAAGTTAATGAAATGCACCTTGGATTTTGGTTCTCCTTACGAAAATGTAGAAAGCTAAAATTATAAAGTTTTATTTTAAGTTGAAATAAAAGACTAGTGAAAAACAAACACTATGCATTGAATGGATACCTGAGTTTAGGATGTCTGAGCAGGTAACATAATCTTTCTTAGATTTAAATTACTGTTATTTAATGTGTCTATTTAACTATGAAAATAATATAAATATTTTATCTTAGACGTAACTTATTCCAACAGAAAAAGCTATAACTTTACGTATGCTATATTTCATTACTACGGCATCTGTGACAAATTTAAATGCATTAAAGACACCCAAAAAACAAACAGACGCTTTATGATAGCATCGAAGAGAAAAAAACTGAAAATGGATTCCTTCATAACGAACTTAGGTACAGTAATTGTTATAAGATATTTAGTTTAAATTCTATATATACTATAAGGTACTTTCTGCCTCCTTTTTTCATTCCTTTGTAGTGTAAAGATTAGCACACTCGGCGCGGATTCGAGAGGTCCAGTGTTCGAGTCCTGGCGAGGGCATTGCGCATTTTTCATGTCTCCCGGTTCAAATTAACCTAATGACTCTACAATACTACGTTAGAAAACATCAACCAATGTAAATCAAAAGTAATCAAAATAAGGTAATTGATGACTTTTATAGTTCAATAGTGGTCATCATATTTGTTTGCTGACTAGAAGACCATCGGATTGATTATTTGTAGAAACAAATACTTTTAAAACTATGCAAAATTATGAGTTCTCGGCGCTATTATCTAATTTTTAATTAATATGACTTGGTTTAATCCATTGCTACAAATGATACATTTCAATTATTTTAATGATTGTGTTACAAGACAATATTTTCCCACAATAGCATTCTAAAATTTTCCAATTTTCGAGTCGTGATCTCCCAAAATTTTGTCTCTTGCGCAAAATTGTTTAATATATCAAATATTACATCATGCAAGCAATCAATTACATGTTAAAAAAGGGAACATCCGAAGAAAATGCCTATAATTCTTTCACTAATATTATGTTTCTGTGCTCTCAACTACTCTAATTAAAAGTGATAATTGACTGTTCAAGTTTAGCAGCATTACGTGACTTTGAGCAACGCGAGATATATTGTCTTTGCATTACAGGATACGCCCTGCATTAGGCAGTTTAACTCACACAAAAATATTGCAAGTAGTATAAGGATATGTGCTGTTGGGGTACTAAGTAAAATATTTCAAACTTTATTAACATATGACTGAACATGAAAAAAGCCTCCAACTGTTTTCGACTGCTATTAATAATTGGCAAACTGTAGACATACGAAGTAAAAGAGCTTTCATACAAAATTTATTGCTCTAGCGTCAATGTTATTAATAGAAAAATGAAAAAAGAAAATAGATACTTACGTTAGTAACAGCCATGTATTAGTTTCTCCCGAAACAAGAAAATGGGTAAGAGAAAAATTTGAAGCACTCTAAGCGTCTCCTTTCTTGGCATTTCGTCTTGAACTATTTCTCGATTTTTCTTGCATCTTCCTTCTCCCTCTTATATTTGTGGCTAGATCTAAAATTTATCGTTTTTGTAAAGAACCCAGCTGAACGTGGATTGCACATTTTCCAAAATCTTCGATACCATAAAATATGTTGGCAATAAGTTAGATCGTAGCCGAAGAAGCAAAAGAGTAAAGTTTTAGAAATATTTCTGCTTCGGTTATTTTTCCCATCAGACTTTTACATCATCTGTGAAAGTGGGGTAAAAATTAAAATGTGTATATTCATTGCTTTGATATTTCATTCAAAATGAAAGAACAGAAAAGTCAAAGAAATTTTAAAAAAGAAAGAACTGATCATCTGGATGTAAGAAATGTACACAGCTCTAATCATCTTGTTTCTTATGTTACGCTACATTACGCTACCCCATCGCCATCTCCTCCTTTAAACAAGGAGCTTAGCAATTGGCGTTTCTGTGAGCTATGTCATTCCATATGCAGATCTGCAATTTAGCTTTTAAATTATTAGAATACATTGCTTATAATATACAAAGAACGTGTATGTAAAGAAGCAAAGTTTCCATAAAAGTAAAGTAAACCAGTTTGACCAATGCGCTGCTAAGTCGTGAAGGAACAAATATACTCATTGCCAGGTGTACAGGATATTGAAGAATAAGGTATAAAACCAAAGACTTAAATGATTCGTTCTCTGACAAAACTTTTCGCTATAATTTAAGCTCGGATTTTTTGTAAAATTTGCTATTTAAAATAGATAGTCCATTAATTAATCTACTTGTCGGATCACTGATTTGATTTACATCGATAGTGGGGGGGGGGGAATGATATCGCAAAACTTTGGACTCTTGACAAACGTGACCTTCGATACCGGTTCGACAAATATTTCGCTCATGCGCAAAAAGTATTATGGTTGGATCTGCTTCGACATTGGTTCGACAGCTATTTCGTGCACGTGCAAAAAAGTATTAAGGCTGGACGGATAGCCCCTGTAGAAGTAAACATGGAGTATATTTTTCCCTCTGCAGTCTGAAGGAACACTTTTGCTTTGGCAAAACTTTCTTTCTGAGCTGCTCAACCACGATAGTGATTAGAAACGCTGACTGCTGTACCG